AATGATAACGATGAGGAGGAGGAGGAGGAGTGACGATCATTAGCCAGGCATGTTCGGAGAACACATCGCACGCCACACAAGAGGTTCTCGGAACATACTTCGCGAAGAGGGCGATGATGAGACGAGGGGGAGGAGGAGGAGGAGGAGGAGGAGGAGGACGACGAGGAGGATGAAGGTGATGATGAGGGTGACGAGGAGGACGAGGATGACGACAACGACGAGGAAGAGGACATAGATGATGATGAGGATGATGAGAAGATGGGGAGTGGTGGAATCCGGGATAGGTAGGGATGAGGATGATGAGAAGAAGGGGGGACGATACGATGCGAACGTCGCCGTCGAGCCCGCCGATGCTGCTCCTCACCGTCCTCCTCCTCATCATACTTATCCTCCTCATTCTCCCTTCCTCCTACTATCCCTGCTCTGCCTCCTCATCATCATCGCCTCGTTCCTGCCCCTGCTCATCTGCCTCACCCCCCCCATCGCTCCTCCTCATCATCGCTCCTCGCTCCTCCTCCTCCTCCTCCTCCTCATCATCATCATCATATTCCTCCTCCTCCTCCTCCTGCTCACCCCTCCCCGTCTCGCTCATCTGTCTTCTCCTATTCGCTCTGTCTCCGCGTCCTTACTATTCCCCCATCCTCATCATCACCCTCGTCACCATCCTCCATCCTCACCCCCATCCGCTGCAGCCTCCTCATCCTCGTCATCCTCATCATGCCCGGCGGCTGCAGTCCTTCTGCGCAGCTCGACCTTGTTTGGGCTCCATCTTCTTCTTCATGGGCGTGGTGATGGGGTCCTGCGGGGCGGCCATCGGAATGCCATCGGAATTCCATCGGAATTCCATCGGATTCCATCGGAATTCCATCGGACGTCCATTGGATTCCATCGGAATTCCATCGGAATTCCATCGGAATTCCATCGACATTCCATCGGGATTCCATCTGAATCCGATGAGGATGTAGACATGGATATGATGATGATGATGCTGATGACGATGACGGTGACGATGATGATGATGATGATGACGACGATGATGATGATGATGATGACGATGATGATGATGATAATGATGATGATGATGATGATGATGATGATGATGATGATGATGATGATGATGATGATGCGGATGCTGATGCTGATGCTGATGTTGATGATGATGCTGCTGAAGGTGCTGCTGATGCTGATGCTGATGATGCTGATGATGCTGATCATGCTGATGATGACGCTGATGATGATGGTGATGATGATGAGGAGGAGGAGGAGGAGGAAGAGGAGGTGAATGCGGAGGGGAGGGATGAGGACGAGAAAGAACATGAGATTATGATGACGATGATGATGATGAGGAGGAGGAGGAGGAGGAGGATTAGGAAGAGTAGGAGGGGGATGATAGGGAAGTGAGGGCCCTCCCGTCGGTCCTGCGAGCCGCGGGCGGCGTCGGCCACCTTGCCGTCGACGAATGGCGACAGCCATCCTCGGGGCGAGCGGGGGGGGGAGCTAGGAGCTAGGATGAGGTGGTGGAGGCGATGGAGGAGGAATGGAAAGATGAGGAGAGGGAGGATGAGGACGAGGAGTGTGCGTGTGAGCGTGTTTTAGCATCAGTCCTGGAGCTGCATTCTTCTGGCGGCCCATTGCCTCGCGCTTCTTGAGCTTCAGCAAGGACTGGCTGACGTCGCGCATCATGGCTCGAATCATCGAGCTAGTCTCTGAAGCCCACGTCGCCGCCTCCCTGCACAGGTGCCACTGCTTCTCGTTGTTCCTGGCGTGCTTGACCAGCACCTTCTCCAGCAGCTGGTAGTCCACGGTCTCGCCAGCAACTTCGCGCAACTTCATGATGAAGTCGGCGTGCCTACTCACCTGCACTGAGTCCAGCTTGCCACTGAGCGTGATCCGATAGTTCAGATCGGTCACGGGGTTCGTGACGAACGTCTCGATGACCTGCGAGACATCGCGCTCCAACTGGCTGGGCCGTGGACTCGCCATAGCGAGCCGTGAGCTCGAATCCGAGCTCGAGCCAAAATGGCTAGATGGAGGAGGGGGGCGAGGAGTAGGATAGTGGATCGTGCCCATGGCAATTGCCCAATACAGGCGGCACTGAAACCGTGGCCTCGCCTAACGCATCCTCACAATGACATTGGTGGTCTCCTAGCTAGCGCTTCGCCTGAGACATCCTCGCAATCGGCTCTGAAGTCCAAGCAACCAAACATGCAAACCACCAGAGACATCCCTGCAATCTGGGCGCGAACCTGCGATTTTTCTCCTTAACACTACCCTTGTTCGTGTCCTCCTCCTCCTCCTCCTCCTCCTCCTCCTAGCTCCTCCAAGCTCCTAGCTCTGCTTCTTTCTTTTCTTACACACTACTCACAACATTATGTTTTCCGATCGCGGTCATTATAAATCCCACATGATCCCAGAAATCTGCCTGATCCCCCGATCCCCGCTTGATCCCCTGATCCGGGATCAAGTCCAGCGGGGATCAGATCCGGGATCAGATCCGGATCAGATCCGGGATCAGATCGTTGTAAACATGATCTCCCAGATCCGGGATCAGATCCGGGATCCGAAATCATCCGGGATCAGGGGATCATGATCCCCGGATCCTCTGGGCCGGGAGAGACTTGCGCGAGGAGTTGCTCCCTCCCCACTTGTCTGCGTGCCCTGGGGGGCTCTGCAGCAGCTGACCCACTGAATAGGCAGGTCAGCATCTGGGCTCCTCCTCCTCCTCCTCCTCCTGTACTCCTCCTCCTCCTTCTCCTCCTCCTCCTCCTCCTCCTCCTCCTCCCCCCCCTCCTCCTCCTCCTCCTCCTCCTCCTCCTCCTCCTCCTCCTCCTCCTCCTCCTCCTCCTCCTCCTCCTCCTCTCCACAGGGGCGCGAGCGAATCTCCCCCAAGGGGTGTGTCCCCGGCCATGTTCTCGAACCCTGCAGGCGTCGCCCGCGCAGGCTGGGCCCTCGCGCAAGCTGGCAGGTTCGGAGGAGAGGAAAGCGACGGCCTGCGGCTCAGCCCCGCTCGATTTTCACCACCCACCAAACCACCCCAACCCAACCCGAAGGCTCCAAATTGCCCTCCATTTCCAGTGGGGGGGGGTCGGGGAGTGTTGAGAAAACACATATGAAACCCTTACCCCCCCCAACCCGAAATTCGGGTCTTCGGGTTGGGTTGGGGTGGTCTGGTAGGTAGTCAGACTTCGGGCCCCGGCAGACTTCGAAGGATGTCGAGGGAGATGCTATTCGCATGCTTTCGGAGGCAGGTAAGCCTCGAAAGCTGGGCGAGGGCTGCTGAAACCGTGGCTGCTGAAACGGCCCTCGCGGAAGGAAAGAACAACTTCCCGGAATGAGGCGCGGCACGCGGAGGTCGATTTTAGCAGCCACGGATTTAGCTATTCATCGGAAGCGAAGCTGGAACATATACATTGCCAGTGGCGGGCTGTTTTTCAGTCCCAGAACTTTTTGATTGAGGGTCGGGGACGACGTCGGAGCGGTGTAGTGTACACTATTTCCGCAGGTTTCTCGTGGAAACAACGAAACATGTATACACCAGGATCCCGTATACACCAGGATCCGCTTTCTTGTGCGAATTTCAGTGCGGGGCCGTAGAAAACGTCGGTGTATAGAGCCCGGGCCCTGAATTCACATGCTTTCGGAGGTAGGGAAGCCGCCCTTTCAAGTGCTCCTGGACTGCGAGACGACTTTGGCGGTCCCCCAAGGGGGTTCGGGCTCGGGGATCTCCGCCGAGGCTCCGGGAGGTCACCTGTGGTCCCCTTTCTGGGGCAGTTTCGAGGCCACCGGTTTTGAAGCGCACAAGTCCCTGGCCCACGGCCCACGCGACGTCGACCGAAGTTGATGGGCCGCACCACATGGTGGGAAACGAGGGCACGTGCCAGCGCAGACACTCACGCTGAAGCTGGAGCGACGTTGCACGATGTCTCGCAAGCCCACGTCGATCTTGCTTGCGGTTGTCGCGAGCTCATGCGCGAGGCTGGTTAGAGGGCGGGATATCTTGAGGTTTACGTGTCAGCTTCTGAGGCTCCTAGGCCCGACACGGCAGGCTTTGGTCGAGACTCGGGGCCATCAGTCCCCAGGAGGATGAACCCGCTGAAGACGAGCGGACCCCCGGGGACGATCTTGATGAGTGAGCTGATGAGGCGAGCGGTGACGATGCTCGGGGGTGTGGGGAAGCACGCTTTCCTCTGGCCAGATTTGGCCCCCGAGGCGTTATACGCCTGGGGCCGTGGGCTGCTCAAGTGCACTGTCGAGCCGCCCCGTGCTGATGGGCAGTGCTTATGTGTGTTGTGTTATCGGTGCGGGGTGTATTGCGCTGATTGCAAGCCAGGCCAGAAGCTGCGCGCGAGGTGCAAGCTGTGTCCGCCAGCGCAGGCATAAGTCCCAGCTCGGTCGCATCAAGATTGGGGCCATCACCGTTGCCAGAGCGACCACCAGAGACCTGACGCTCAGTCTTCGTGGTCCTTGGTCCAACCTTGGCAAGGGGGAGACCCCAGGCCAGGCGATGTTGCCTCCGCCACCTCCTGGCGACAGAGCCTCAGTGGCTCCGAGCTGGCACGCTGCTGCACGGTACGCTTCGAGGGAGGCGGTGCTGCGGGCTTTTGGTCTGCCCGGGAGCGACCTGGCGATCTCCTCTGACTGTGCTTGCGTTGAGGGCGATCCACGACAACAGTATCCTCCTCGTCCTCCTCCTCCTCCTCCTGCTCCTCCTCCTCCTCCCTCCCTCTCCTCCTCCGCCGCCCCTCCTCCTCCTCCTCCTCCTCAGCTCCTCCTCCTCCCTCCTCCTCCTCCCTCCCTCCTCCGCCTCCTTCCTCCTCTCCTCCTCCCTCCTCCTCCGCCTCCTCCTCCTCCTCCTCCCTCCCTCCTCCTCCTCTCCCCTCCTCCCCCCCCCCCCCCCTCCCCTCCTCCTCCTCCCCCTCCTCCTCTTCCTCCTCCTCCTCTCTCCTGCGCCCCATGCCCTCCTCTCGGCGGGCCCGGGGGGGCTGGCCCGCCTCCCGAAGGCACGAGGTCGTGCCCACCTCGGAGCCCTGGGGCGCCGCCAGCGACCTCAGCGGCCTCTCGCCGCGGAGCTACGACCGCGACCGCTTCTTCGAGGCCCACCGCGGGCAGCAGGAGGGATCGCCCTCTTTTCCTCCTTCCCTGTCCTCCTCCTCCTCCTCCTCGTCCTCCTCCTCCGCCCCTCGTCTTTTCTTGTCCTCCTCCTCTTCCTCCTCCTCCTCCTCCTCCTCCTCCTCCTCGTTCTCCTCCACCTTCTTCTTCTTCTCCTCCTCCTCCTCCTACTCCTCCTCCTCCTTCCCCTCCCCCTTCTCCTCATCCTTACTCCTCCTCCTCCTCCTCCTCCTCCTCCTCCTCCTCCTCCTCCTCCTCCTCCTCTTATTCGGGGCACACCGCGGGCAGCAGGAGGGCTTGCTCCGACGACGAGGGCTTCGACGACGACGGCGGCGACGACGAGGACGGCGACGACGATGACGACGACAACGACTACTACGATGACGACGATGACAACAACAACAACAATTACTAGCACGTGGGGACACTCCGTTCTCACCAGTGCCAGGGTTTTCATAGGAGGCGGGCAATACCCCCACTTTGTGGGGGGGCCGGTTCAAGCTCTACCAAATTTCCAAACGACTCTTCGCCACCACCCACACCCAGCTTCCCGCCCTATGACGTTCGGACACTTCACTTCGTGGCATGCGGACGACCGTGGCTACTATTCAGGGCCCCGCGGCCGACGACGACGGCGTGCGCGCGCGAAGAAAAAACGAATGTGTCCCGCATGGTATTATTTGACAGGGATGATGGCCCTGGCAGGTGCGCAACCGTTGTCGCAGAAGTTCGAAAAAGTTGCTCGCAAAAGCCCGTTTGACAGAAATGTTTAAAAAGTGTTGGGTTTCCTACGAATCCGCAAGAGCGCGCGGGATGAGATGTTGACAATTTTTTGTTGAAAAACCATTGGTTTTTTGATGTTTTTATGTTAAAATCGCTGCGAACACTAAGGTTTTGGAAGGATTTCGTCTTGCGCGCGCGAATGTCCACTTTACCTTATTTTTTGCAAGGGATTCTTGAAATTTGATTATATTAGAACAAGAAATGTCATTTTCTATTGTTTTTTGCAAGGGAAAGCGGATTACAACAAAACAACCGGATCCTGTACACACCCTCTTTTCTGAGGCTTCCTCACGAAAATGATGAAAATGTAGCTGCGGCCTAGGCGGCGCAGGGGGGGCGCGCACCAGGGGGCCCAACAATAATTATTCTTTAGAATAAATAATGTTCAACAACAACAACAACAACACCAACACCACCAACAACAACAACAACAACAACAACCACAACAACAACAACACCACCACCACCAACAACAACAACACCACCAACAACAACAACAACAAACACAACAACAACACCAACAACAACAACAACAACAACAGCAACAACACCAACAACACCAACAACAACAGCAACAGCAGCAACAGCAACAACAACGTCAACTACGATGACGACGATGACGATGACGGCGACAACGATGACGATTTCAGACCCCCCACGATTTGATTTTCCTGGCAAGGGCTTGGGCCTAGGGTTCTTCGGGGTCCGCCACATCAGCATGAGGGCTTGCTTTTCGGGCGTTGAGAGAACGCCCACCCGGACAGATCGACAGAAGAAGTCTGCACTGGTTCACTCCACATTGGCATTCCAGTGTGTCGACGCGTTTCCCCTGATGCAGCCGGCTAGTTTTTTGGACCTCGGCCAGCTACCCCGCTGAGGTCCACTCGGGATACGGCGCCGTGCGCAGGTGGCGTGCCCGTGGCAGCTTTCATCATTGAAGGGCGTTTTGCTAAAGGGTGCTCTGTCAATCCTCGATCTTCGACGACGACGACGATCCCAGATCTCCGACGACATGATTGCTTTCTGTCTTGGTGTGTTTTTCCTCGATGTTGGCCTCTGGGGCCCACTATATCGTAGGGGAACGTGGAATGACATAAACAATAAAAAAAAACGGAAGTCCGTGCGGATTTCTCGGATCGGCGCTAGACCCCCCTCCCTGGCGCGCGGAGCGCGCCAGAGGCGTCGCCGGAGGCGCCGCCAGGGGGGTCCGGCGCGGATCCGAGAAATCCGCGCGGACCTCCGAATTCTTATGACTGTGTCATTGCTCGTTCCCCTAATGGGGCCCCAGGACGATCCAGTTTGCTTTTTTGGTCCGCGGGCGCAAGCGAGCAGGCGTCGGTCGAGCAAGCGCATGGAGGCACGAAGGCGCGGGAGGACCGGAACCGAAGCAGGCCGCTCAGAACACGCAGCTCTTCTCGGAGGTGGAGAGACCTCCTACCCTGACACGTCGATTAAGGAATTGGCCGTTTTCGGTTCGCGAGAGGGCGTCGCGGCCGTCATTTTGGCGGGTCCAGGTCCGTCGGTCTCGGTCCCAGGCCGTTTTCACTAAGGGGAGGTTTACTAAAGGGAGGTTTGTCCACCGCCGATCTTCACGGGCGTGGCGCAGCCGTGCAGCCACGTAGGGTCCAAATTAGAGGCAGAGGCCGCGGGTGGAGACCTTGCAGTAGGACCGAAAAGTCGCAAACGGTGGGGTCATGTGACAGGAGGAGGAGGAGGAGGAGGAGGAGGAGGAGGAGGAGGAGCCCTTGCAGGGGTAGTCTTAAGTCGGGCATGTCCCTCTACAGGAGGAATCTTCAAACATAGTTTCAAAACGTAGTCTGGGGATGTTTTGTTCGACTACTTGCTACTCATCCGGAGTATTTTTCTAACCCTTCGCGTTGTTTTACAGGAGGACATGCCCGACCTAGTGGTAGCTCTTGCCAGGGAGCGCGAGGAACTCGAACAGGCCAGCCATGGAGAGGAACGAGCGGGCCTGGGCGCCGCCGCGGGCAGACGCGATGTGAGCTGAGGGAGAGACCGAACAAAAGAGCGACCAGGAGCCAGCCATAAGACCGAACAAAAGAGCGACCAGGAGCCAGCCATACCAGACGAAGCCGGCGGATCAGAATGTTGGGAGGAGAAGCCACGGTTCCGTCAGTCTACTACCCTCGCCAAGATGAACCTCAAAAATGGCGGACATGCCCCTTCGAGGTCGGCGGCGCGCCCATCGATGTCGATACGACGCCCCTCCAATGTCAGGGCCAGGGCAAGGGTGGTCTGACCGGGATCGAGTCGGAAGTTCGATGATGACCGACCTTAGAGGGGCGGCGCAGACACGTACCTCGCATTTCTCGCTACTCACGCAAAGATCTGCCCGTACGCGATTCGTCTACGTAAGATTACAGGGTAATTTTGAGGAGGGCTGCAGGAGCGCCGTCGGCGGTCGTGAGTCACAGTGGGCACGCAGGGCCCAACGTCGCGCCCAACAAGGACGCCAGGCTCTACAGGCAAGAGCAGCCGGGCCAGGGAGCAGCGGCTCGAGGGCGGGGGGGCCGGGGAGGGAGCGGGCGAGCTGGCCGCGCAGCTCCCCGAGGGAGGCGCGGAGGAGGCCTCCGCGAGGCGGCCGGGGCTGGCGAGCCAGCATCATTCAGGAGGGGAAACACACACAGACACAATGAATCGTCGATTCCCTAAAGGTTATTGGAAAATATGGGAAGTGGGGGGAAGACAAACATCCAGAAAATATAGGAAAATATAGGGAATCCTTTTGTTTGTGTGTATTCAGTTGTGTGTCCTTGGGCCCCTTCAATCATGGCAGCGCTGGCGGTGGGGAGGGGGGGGGGGGTGGCAGGGGAAGGGAGGGGCGGGGAAGCAGGGGCGGGCAGCAAGCGAGCGAGGACAGGGAGGGAGGCTGGGGGGGGGGGGGGGGGCGAAGAGCCCAAAGCAGCGCCGGCGCGGGAAAATGGCCAAGCAGGCAGCCAGGCACCCTGGGGGGGCGGAGAGCCCGATCGGTGCGGGGGAAGGCAGGAGTCAGGAGGGAAAAAACACACACACAGACACAATTATTCGTCGATTTCCAGGAAAATATGGGAAAATATGGGAAGTGGTGGGGAAGAGAAAAACCCAGAAAATATGGGGAAAATATGGGGAATCCTTTTACTTGTGTGTGTTCATTTGTGTGTCCTGGGGCCCCTTCAAGGAAATGGAAGCAAGGGCGAAGATGACGCGAGCGCGTGGCTGAAGCACGGCCAGCTGTCGGGTGGCCGGCAAGAGCAGTATGGGCGATGTGAGGGCCACGAGGGATCGCTGGGAGGCCGATGCGTACTGTACTTACTGGTCCTCCCAGCGGCCCCCCGCCTGCTGCGGTCCCAGTGCGGTCGGGGCTCGGCGTCACGGGGGCCCGTTGCGGTGCCCTCCCTTTGGACCGTTGCCGGCGCAGCGTCGTCCCTCTGTTCGGCCCCGTCTTCCGCCGCGCGGCTGCCCAATCAATCCACCCGCGTGCTCCTGGTCTCCGCCCACGGGGTCAACTCGTTGCGCGCTGCGGCCCGGTCAGCGGGGAGCCTGTCCGCGTCCTCCGACGACCTGCGGAAGGGGTCGAGGGGAGAGTTGGCTGCGGCGCGGTGGCCCTTGGCCCAGTCCCAGTCCAGGTGCTGGCAGTGTGCGTGCCAGGCCCCGGACAGCATATACCTCGCTTCGGACTGCAGCCGCCCGACGGCCGCTTGAGCCGACTCCCCGTCCTGGCGGTCCCAGGAGATGGCTTTGATCGGGGGAGCGTAAGACCCGGGTTTGCCGGGACTCGGGTTCGCCATCGTTTTTTGACGACCGCGACTCGGATTTTGACGAGGAGGAGTTTCGTGGGATGTCTGCAGCGGGAGGCCTCGTCAAAATGCAGGCTCGGCCTCGTCATTTTTTTGACGACCTCGTCGGGGATTTCCGAGTCCCCCGTACCCGGGTCTTACGTCTCCCCGATTTGAGAGGCCTCTTGCACCGGCTGGCGGGAGCGGTCCGCTCCCGGTGACCCCTCCGCGGTCGCGGTGCTGGGCCGCAGCAGGCCTGCCGCTTTGAGGCTGCCGGCCCTGGCGGGAGTCCCAGCCCTGGCCCCCCCCCCCCCCCCCCCCGGGATCCCCAGGATGGCCAGGTGCCCCCAGTCACTCAGGAGGGAAAAAAGCACACACACACAATTAATCGGGGGGGGGGGGGGGGAAAAAAAAAGAAAAAAAAAAAAGAGACACAATTAATCG